CTTTTGGCTCTTCTGATACTCTGGTCTACTTCATCCCCCATCTTTATCCTTTCAACTTTCCAGTCCTACACTTTGAGACAGGTTCTTGAACACCAATCTCTACAATTTTACCTAAGCCAATGAAACCTTAAATGAAACAGGAGCAGACCTTCTCTATTCTCAGGAAGGTACCCCAATCATGAGGTTAGAAAGTCACAGTTGTGTCTTGCTGTGGTCACAGAACAGGACGTGGCTCACTAGCTCACCCATGGGTTTTGGGATGGGAACTGCGGCACAGAGGAATGATCACTGCCCTGTGGAGGAGGGTTGTTAGTATTTCTGCAAAGGGAAACTGGGACACAAATAAAAGGAGGTTTCAATGTACCTAGGAGGAAAAGCTGAGTTCAAAAGATTTCCTTTTCTCTCTTTAATATTATTGGTTGTCTCAGACAACCATCTACTTGGCAACAAAGCTGCTGAGGAGGTTTCTTCTGACACAGCTCCTTCTCTGCTCATTGTATAGGCTACCAGTGGACCTAACCCAAATACTGCTGAATCCTCTGCTCTCCTACTTACAGCTGAGCTTTCTTTACACCCCTTAATTTCTCACCATTTTCCGCTTTTCTCTTGTCATTCCAACTAGTGGAATGTACTTCATACAACTTATATACTTCCTTCTCCCTTTTGCCTGAGCACGGCAATTCAGGAAGCAAGGATGGCGGAAGACAGATGCACCAATTCTTTAAAATGAAGGCCACCAGAAACTGGAAATGACAAAACAAGACATTTTTCTCTACTCAAACTCCTCCAAGCAGCTGAAACATCTCTTTTCTGAAAGGTTGCAAACAGTTGGCTTTTGATGGAAGTAGTGATAAAAAACCTTCAACAATAATTCAAGTAAGCACAGAATCTATTTCCCCTCAAGCTTCTTTATTTCAGAAGCAGTTCCTTCCCCAAAACATCTCCAGGAAATGACATTTCAGCATGTGTACAGCACTGCAATAAAACAGAAACACACCCAGGAACATTTTTCAAGTTCACAGCAAGGTGAGCAGAAGAAGATCAAGGTATTAAAAAAAATTACAGAGGTCTAGCAGAGGAGACAGTCAGCTTGCTCTCTTGCTTTCTGCTTTGCATGTTCCCAGAGAGCCCACTGTGGCTTTTAAAACCTTGACCAGTCTTCTAGAGCCATCCCAGCTGCACCCAGACAAGGAAATGTGCTTGGGAAAAGAAAATTCTGTTTCTTCCTGACTTCTTCTGCCATGAGACTGCTCCTTGTCAGCTCTAAGAAACCATCCTCTCAACAGATAGAATTTTGCCATTTAGAAGTCTGCCTGTTCTCCCAACTTTTATAATACTTCTCATTTTTTTGAGGGGGCCTTGGCCCCTGCATGGAAGTAAAGGTTTCCACACTTCATGTAAAAATCTTATCTAAGTTTAAAATACATACAGCATACCTTTGACTGTAGAATGAATAACAGTGTGGCAGAGTTTGGTTTCTTTGTCTAACTTCAGTGTCTAAAGGGTTTATGTTGCACTGTGGGATTCCCATCACTCATCAAAGGACTTTCAAAAGGATGTCCTGTGATAAAATGATTTGCAGACCTGATACCGAAAACCACTTTGTGCTGGTGGGAACTTCACTTCTGTCCAGGAGGAGAATTACTGTGAGAATTAACTTGTTTCTGTTCCTGCTGTGGTACACTGGTGTCCCTCACAGAGTGTAATCTCCCTGTTTTTCTGACATTTTGCCTAGTCAAAGCCTGTCTTTAATTCACAGTGCAATTCTTTACACCACCTTAGAACACCACCTTCCAGCAGAAGAGGTTGCTCAGGTCAAACTCAATGGCTCATCTGGTGCTTCCCATCTGCAAATAGATCACCCTAACCATGATCTTCTCTACCTGCTCTGGCTGCTTTATGAAATACCTAATGATGATCTCACAGGCAGACCAGCTGTGAGACAAAGGCATGAACTGTCTGCATCAAACCCCATGACTCTTACCTTTGTTACCAAGTCAGCACCAAGGCAATGTCAGACTTTGGACCCTTCTGCAATGTCACTACAAGGATACCAAAACCAATGTAACCTATAAACATATAAATGCTACAAAAATATGAACATCTTTTGACCTTCTGTTTGTCAGTGACAACACAATAACAAATTTGGAGGATGGGGGACTTAATACACTCAAATATCACACTTTGAGTATTGATGTACTGAGAGGAGTCATATATAATAAGCATAACATTGAGGTCCTCTATCTATCACATACTGTCTCACCTCACACAATTACCAGGTGTCAGAAAATAACTTTTCCTATTACCTAAAAGTTTTTTTTTTTCTCACTGACTGCTGAACTGTATTTTAAAACATTAATCTCTGAATAAATAAGCAGAGCTTTTAGTCTGATAAGATATGGATACACAATGTTAGCACTTGGAAATACCAAGAAAATGGCAAACTTTCAACCTTATTTATCAGCCTGACTCTCTCTTTCTTCCTGTCCTCTACCAGAGAAGAATCTCCCATTAATTTCAGAGGAAATTTCATCAGATTAGGCCATGTGTTTTGACCTTTACTACTTTTGACATTAAAAATAATTGAGTCCATTGTTGCAGCAAATAAGGGCCTAATAAAATACTTGTATTAGTATCTATTTTTTGATAATTACTGATGTTCTATGCAGGTGGGAAAGCTTGGGTACATGCCTGCAGGACACTAATGGGAATGTTTTTTTTCCAAGTGCCGTATTTATCAGGGCACTAGAAGAAAATAAACCTGTATTATGAAGTTTCATGCTGGCTCTCATTATGCCATCTCAAAACCTTGTCCTTTGATTTATTGGAAAGATTAAATATATTTTCTCAGTGAGATCAGAGATACTAGACAAGAGGTCATGGAGATGCTGGCAGAAAAATGATAGTTTTCCATGTGTCAAATTTTTTGTACTACACATCCAAGGTTCAACCAGTGCTTCTTAATTGCTGGGGTCTCGTAGGATGCTGGTGAATTCCTGTTCCTTAGAGTTGGGGATGATGGAAACTGTGAGGTCCCAGCTCTCACACAATCTACAAGTAAATCTCTATCCCTGCCTTCCACAGGGTGCTCAGGAAATTTGACATCCTTGTCAATTTTGCTGCAGTTAGCAGCAGGGGAGCTGACAGGAATACCAATTTTGAAAAGCAGCTGCAGGATACTGTTAACTTAGTAGAAATGAAAATTTTTCTAAAAAAAAAGAGAAAGGTTTTGGATTTAACTGAGATCAAACCCAGTACTGTGACTGAGAAATGTTCCTGGAAACCCAGCTTTGAAATTGATTTTTCAGACACTGAACTCACTCTTACTGAGGGGAGAAGATATGCTGGCATGTCTGGTAAAACTTCTTATTCCTCTCAGAAGAGAAAATACATGTTTTCAGCCTGGTTTTGTTTTCCAAATATTTTGGTAATGGGGCAAATCTAAGCAACACATCTTGTAATGCCTAGAGTGGATTATGGAGCCATATTCCATCCAGCTCCAAACCAGTCAGTCTAACCACAGAAGTATGCAGCTCAGCCTCACCAGCTGGAGCTGCAGGAACCATAAAAACCAACAGTAAGCAAGCTTTGGCAACCCTCCTGAACAGCCATGGTTATTCTCCTAGCTGTAACCAACCAAGCCAGCATGCTGAAACTAGATTCAAAGTAGTTATCACCACAGTGTCCACATATCCCTAAGAGTTACATAGTTTTCATGGAAATCCTGCTACACTACACTATGATTATGACTGATGCAGAACATGAAAGAGAAGTCTTTTGTTTCGCAGAAAGATGTCTTTTTTGGTGACAATAGCTTCTCAGCTTTCAAGGCAAAAAATATGGTCATCACTCAAAGCGATATAGCCATCTATTCCAGTTTTTTCCACTAGTTTTTGGCTGATGAATCAGAAAACAGCCTAAACGGCACACAGTAAAGAACTCATTCAGGTACAAACCCTGAAAACACTTACTCTGCATTTAAATTCATTTAAGAATTCACACTTAGTTAAATGAGATGTCTCACCCCACTGTGGGCCATTTTCAGGAATACAGGATTTGGAGTGTCACAGGTACACTTAAGTAGTGCCTAAAAGCTTCCACTGTGCAATACACAGAGCACAAAAGCAACTGGATTGTAAACTCAAGCCTCTTTTGGCACTTGAAGGAGCAAGATACTCACTGCTTTTTTTCTAGTTCTAGTGAGAACATTAAGAAATCTGGAGAAACTCCACGTTTTCTCACAGATAATCCAGGTTAAAGACTTGCAAAACCAAATATACTAATTATTTGCCATCATGAATGAACAAAGAAAAGAAACCTTTTAAACAGATTGCAAAGCTTTCACCACATGCATCAGTGCCTTGATCTGGATTCTTGCTCAGACCAATTTACGTTATAAACCCACATTTTTTCAATTTTCCATATTTTTTTTTAATAAAATGGGTCTTTGACTGGAAGTGTGAGAAAGCAATGGCAAAAGGAGGGGTGTGGCAGGAACTGAGATTTGGTTTTCTCAAAAAAACAAGGGAGACATCATTCCTGCCCAGTGGAACAAATAATTTCTGGTTATGCAAGTTACTCAACAGTGTCAACTTCTTTATCCTGTATTTTTGTCACTCCTTTATTAGCACTCACAGGAACTTCAGTGTGGCTGAACTGGCCATTAGCATGATCTTTTTATACTGCTTTTTCCTTTATTCATAACCTGCTGAATCAATAGTCAAAGATTTCTTCTGGGTTAGGCTCTAGCTTTAGTAGCAGAACCTGAAAACACAGCTTTGGTGAGCTGCTGCTTCAATTGTAGTGCACCCAATGTGCTGCTTTGGGTTTTTTAAAGAAAAGGTTGGTAACAGAGTTAAAGATCTCCTCTTAGAATCAGGAATGTCTCCAAGCCAAGCTTTAAGAGTTGAAATACATATAAACTGAGGTTTTATTACAAACTTTCAGCCTTGATGAGCAAATGTTCCAGATTAATAAACCGACCCCAATGCGGCTGTTACCTGCTGAAGTGTGTTTAAATTTTTCACTCTTCTTCTTCCTCCATTTCCATGGCTTAAAAAGTCTCCCAAGAGTGGCAAATTTGCTCCTTCTTCTGATTGGAGGCGTGTGAGTCCCAGGTACTAGAGAATCTGAACGCATTGCAGCCAGTCTTTCTACCTCTTCAGCTGTAATTTCAGCAAGAAAAAGAGAAAAAAAACATGGAAGGTGAGAAGTGAAATAAATGCTTTAATAAGTTATCAGAAAAATACACAGATGGCCAAAATTTTTCATGGACACAGAGAAGAGTAACAAAGAGAAAAAGCTGTAGTCTTTCTTACTTCAACATTCTTTTATTTTCTTTTAGTGAAATTGTTAATCTACTGTAAATAACAGTAGTAACAACAAGATTCAACATAATATGGGTTATTATGTTATAAAAGTTATGACTTTTAACAAATTGTTCTACATTGCTCTAGACAGCTGGCAGTTCAGCCATCAGCCATTCATGGGGAAGTGTGACAGAGAATGGTGAAGAGAAAGCTCAAAAACAAGGATGCAATATAATTTAAAAGAAATATTACAAGTTTGGGTTTTTTTATTGCAATGGAAAGAGATATTTACTTTAATTAATATTTATTAAGAGCAAGGACCCTTTGGTACTATTACCATATCCATTAAAATTGCTTGGGTTACAAAAAGGAGTTACATTCAGAACTTCCTAGTAAGAGGGTGCTAAAAAAATCATAGAATCATAGAATTGTTCAGGATGAAAAAGATGTCTAAGATCAGGTCCAACCATTAACCCAGCACTGCCAAGTCCATCCCTAAACCAATCCCCAAGTGCCAGATCTACACATCTTTTAAATCCTTCCAAAGATGGTGACTGCACCACTTCCCTGACAGCCTGTTCCCGTGCTTTACAACCCTTTTCATGAAGAAATTTGTCCTAACATGCAATCTCAAAGCTCCCTAGTGCCACTTGAGGCCATTTCCTCTAGTCCTACCACTGGTTACCTAGGAGGTTTACCTCCACCTGGCTACATTTAGCTACATTCACCCTCCTTTTAGGTGCTTCTAGAGAGCAATAAGATCCCCCCGAGCCTCCTTTTCTCCAGGCTACCTCAGATACTCATGGTAAGACCTGTGCTCCAGAACCTTTACCAGCCCTTCTCCAGCATCCCAGTGTCTGTCTTGTAGTGAGGGGCCCAAGTATAGTCCCATTTTTCTGCCCACTCTCTGCCCTCCCATTCTTGTGCTTAGCTTTTAACAATTAAACTTTTAATTTTGGATTTTAATATAGTCTCCACTTAGGGCTGAATTCCCTTGAAGGGGATAGAGGTTTTCACTGAGCTTTTATCCTTAAGATTTCCATTATCTACAACCTTTACCCTGTAATACATCATGATAGTCTCAATTGAAAAAAAAAAACCAAACCCCAAAACCCTGAAGAATTTAAATTACCCTTACTACCTGACGAGAACAAGAGAAGTCTGGAAATCTGGGGATGGTCGCTTGATGTAGTTATATTGCATGGTGTCACCCCCCGTCACACATTTGCAAGGCAAAATTTATGGTGATAGCTTGGGAAATAACATCTCTGTCATTAGAGGCACAGAGAGAGGAAAGCCAGGACCACAAATAAAACACCAACAGAGGGAAGGTACCAGCCACAAGAGAGGTTGATGTCTCTGTGCCACGGCTGCCAGGGATGCAAGAGGGTCTCCCTGCCTTGGGCTGAAGCATGCAGCTCACTCCCTAAAAAAAGCATCTGCATAGTTCAGTCAGCATACAAGTGTGTGGTGCTGTTGTGTCCTTTTTGGCTTTTGGTTTTTTAAGTTGTTGTTGGTGTTTGGTTTTTGTTTTTTTAAGGGATACCAGTTCCCAGACTTACGTTGTAATGTGACACTGCCACTAACACTGATTTTGAGTGGTTTGCACACACAGTCTGGATCCATCAAGACAGGATGCAGATTGTCATCTCTCCTCCTCTGAAGACAACAGCCCAGTGTTTCTATTCACCTCTAGTATCTTAAATATTAGCCTCAGGCATGAGCATGGGCTCAGGAACCTCAGCAAGAACACTGCTTTGAAGGGATGAGCACGCCCACTCCACACTGACAGAATCACCAGAGATTTTGGCTGGCAAATTCTTATGTATCTCAATGGAAATTTTTTTGAGGCTTTAAATGAGCCAAATTTAGGTTGGTTTTCATGGGAACAGGCAGAGATGCATTTCTAACACAAAGGAGGTTTCATTTTCAGAATTCCAACTGAACTACTATTTGAGTCCCTCAGGTTTTTCCATGAAGGTTGGTTATTTTGTTATTGCTCTTTTGTTTGTTTTGAATGTTAACAAACAACACAATCTTTTCTCCTGTACAATATCAATGCCAGATACAGCTGCCTGTAACTTTCCAAAGAAGAAAAATGGTTAAAAACTACTGTTCTTTGGGGTAATGGAGAAAAAGACAGACATTTCTGAGAACACCTCTTTTCAATTTAAAGCAGAGGGAATAAAAGATAATCCGGCCAAACCATTTCATTCTGTTCCAGCTCTTTGTGCCTGACTGCCTGGAGAAATACCTTCTTATCCAAAGAACCCATTACAAGGCTCTGTCCTGTAGAGGAGCTGGGACATGCTGTGTCAAGGCTGGGAATTGCCTGGTTATGCTGAATAAACCACATGGGTAAAAAGAAGAGGAAATCAGAAATTTCCTTATACTTTCTGATTTTACAGGAGCCCGCTAGGCCTCAAAGACCAGCACAGGGTACAGACCACTGCCCCCTATATGCACATCCAAAGGGACCACTCCTTTCCCCCTTCCTCCATTTTGAGATGTCTCTAGTTCAAGCACTTAAGATCCCACTGTGTTCCACAGCTGTGATTTTTTAGAGATGCTGCTAAAAGTAGTGGGCTGGTATTGCCTTTGGTGCCTTATTTGGGGCATACAGGAAGTGGCCCATTGAGCAAACTGGGAATGATAGGCTACTGCTGCTGTTGAATTAGTCTTCCTGCTATAAACCTAGAGCTGAAACCTACTGAAATTTCTCTTGCTGCTTACCCTCTCTGCTTTTCACCATCACTGAACCAAGATCTCTGCTACCCAGGTGCCTTTGTTATGAAATCTCAGAGCTGCAACAACTTCTCTTTGCTAGCTGGTCCTAACTGGTATTGCTGAGACCATTTCCTGGAGAACTGACATTCCTTAAAGACACTCTCACAACATACACGCAACTCTGTCCCACACCAGCTGTGCTCTCACTGCCCCTGGGGAAGCTTTTCCCACTCAGGGTAAATGAGTATAGATTTACAGTCAGGCAAAACTAACAGTGGAGTCAAAAAGAATTTACCCAGAGGGTGGGTTCACAGAAAGCCAAACACAGTGTCAAAGCCATTTCCATATTTTGACTGCTTTTCCCTAAATTTCAGTATTGTCTCACGCACAAATCTGTGGCCTCAGAGTCATGCAGTACCTGACATCAGTCATGAAAGTATCCCTTCTCTCCTTCATCCTCTCCAAACACACACACAGTTCCAAGATAATGCAAGTAACAGCTCTTTTTCCTTCTCATTCGCATTTCTCAGAAGGACATGATTTTTTTCATGAGAAAAGCTCTCAAGAGCACTGCTAATTCAAAGCATAATAATCACTGGCTAGGAATAAACCACATTAGCATAAAGCCATGACAGTTTTAATACGGCAAGAATAAAAGCAGACCATGATGCAAGAAGCAAATGCCAGAATTCTGCACTCCTCTCTGCTGCTGCATCTTTTGCTCAAGTTGGCTGGATTTCTCTGTCTTTTTTGGCTCATAATAACTATTGACTGGCTGTGGGCTGTGACACCCACTGCTGACAGCAGGCTCTGTAGGCTGATTTCACACCTTCGCTGTTCCCAAAAAAGCTGGTACTTGCAAGAATGGAAAGTAACCCAGACCTTGCACTCTTTTTCTATATTTTTGCCTTCAAAGAGGAAAGCAGTCCCAGCCTGATGAGTCTGCTGAACTGGGAGAGGGAGCTGACATGTACATTAGTACCTGTAGTCACACTGCTGAGATGTCAGCTTGATGCTGGTGCCACAAATGTGATGATTATGGGTTACAGGTGCTGCTGATAGTGCTTTCAAAAATTTGTTCTGATTTTCTTCCAGGATCTAAGAGATCTTTTTGAGACACAAAGAAATACTGGCACCTGTACTTACGGCAACAGGGTGATGCACTCCCCTCCCACTTTCTTCTGTCCAAGCTGTCCAAGCATTCCAGAGCTAGCAATAGGGAAACTAAACCTGAGTTTTCCATAGGCTGTGAGACAGCTCTCATGATTTTATTGTAGTTCTTAATACTCCTGAAGTTCATACAGACTTTATATAGGGCTTAAGCAAGACTTGGGGTTTTAATGAAAAAACCTCACCACAAACTGAAGTACTTTGCATCTAAGTAATAAAATATATATATCTATATATATATATATATTTACATGTATGAAATATATTACAAAGAAGAGGCCAGACCATCTTGGACCTGTTCTGTATGTTCCTATGATTTTCTCACATCTTTCAGTAGGGTGTTCATTTCCAGAAAGTCCAGTAAGAGACAACATAGGTGTTGCCTACTTTTTGGATTTGAGAAGCATAGCATGTAGAATAAAGGTCCTCCCAGAGACAACATAACTTATGAGGTTTTCCTGGAGAATGACAGCCAGTTTTTGTATTCTCACTACTGTCTGGAAATCACTTCACCTACTAATGTTGCTGATATGTAATACCATAATATCTAGCTTCCATTTGAGAAAAAAAACCCCACTATCACTGCATTTGGGTACAAAGAGAAATTTCACTGCTGAAGGCTGAAGCCCACCCATTCCACTGGTGGTCTTTAATATTACCTTCCTTACTGGTAATCACACCAAGTTCTCTCTCAGACCTTTTCTTAACACTCATTTTTCATAATTAGACACATGATTACCTGAACAGGAGATTTACTTCACCAAGTTAGATTTTAAGTCTTCTTAGGAAATTCAAATGGCTACTTTGTGCTTTCTGTTACATTTGCACAAATCTGTAGTAACAGGCTGAAAATTATCTTGGCCCTAAAGATGCAATTAACTAAATGTGTCATATTATTCAATGACAAGAACTCTATAAATAAAACCCCCTAACATAATACTACTCACTGCCAATCCACA